TAGGAGGAAGCTATCTGGGGCCAGCAAAAGACCCACTGGAAAACAGTGTGACCAACACTTCCTGAAGCTTATACAGAGCTGGGAAGAAAGGTCTTGTAACATAGAATCCAGAAAGAGACCCACACAAATGAGGTCATCTGATTTTGAACAAAAATGCCAAGGGAATTCATTAGGAAATAAGCTTTCATGACATCACACTTGAACAGTTGCACATCCACATGTATAAGGAGGAGCTTTAAACCTTACTTCATACTATATACAAAAAGTAACTCAAAATATGCAATAACCATAAATGTAAGAGCTAAAATGATAAAACTTCTGGAAGAAAACATCGAAGAAAAAAAAATCTTTGCAATCTTGGGCTAGAAAACTATTTTCTAAATATCTCATTTGAATCACAATTCATAAAATAGAAAAATCGGTAAATATAACTTCACCAAAATTTTAAAATTCTTCTCTCCAAAGAATAGTGTTAAGAAAATGGAATGATAAGCCAGAGACTGGGGGAAAACAGTTACAAAGCATGTTTCTAATAAAGGACTTACATGCAGAAAACACAAAGGAAAGAACCCATAGAACTCAACAAGAAGATGAACCAAGTTAAGAAAATGGGCAAAAGATTTAAATGGATACTTCACCAAAGAAAGTATAGAGGTGGCAAATAAGCACATAAAAAATGCTCAGTTATTCATATTAGTAAAATGCAAATCAAAACCAGAGTGAGACACTACTAAGCACTCATTATAATGCCCAATTATAAGGGACTGATAACAGCAGGTGTTGGAGAAGATATGGAGCAACTGGAACCACCATGCTCATCGCTCGTGGGAATGCACGTTAGCACCACCCCTTTGGAAAATATTCCGTCAGCTTCTTCTAAAGTTAAATGCATTGACCATATGCCCCAGTAGTTTCTTTCTTTGTATCTATCCAAGAGAAAGGAAAGAAAATATCCACACAAAGACATGTACATAAATTTTCATAATAGCATTATTCACAATAGTTGATAACTTGAATCTACCCAAGTGTGCACCAATGGCTAAATGGATAACAAATTTGTGGGTATTCGGATGAATCTCAAAGCAAGCCAGATACAAAAGATTGCATACTGGAATTTATCATTTCTATGAAATTTTAGAAGAGGCAAAACTGTAGTGATCCAGAAAAGTAGATCACAGAATTATTGCATAGGTAAAATGTATAAGCAATGCAATATTTCCTATAAGAATGACCACCATTTAAAACCTTAATAGTCAGCCTTTTCTAGGACTACAGACAGGAGAGCTTTCCCATGCATTGCTGACAGGATTATGAACTGGAGACCAATCTGAAGGCCAATTTGCATCTGGTATAAAAAATCCAAAAATGTTTATCTGAACCAGCAGTTCTTCTCCAGGAATTTATCCTGAGGCTATAATTAACAATCTGTAATCAGACAAATTTAAATGGGCAAAAAAAATAACAATACTTCAAACATCCAAAATAGAACATCGTTAAATGAATGAGGGTAAATCCATAAAATGGAATGGCATCAAGTGACATCAAATGTTATAAACCTTTATAAAAGTGGCTTATAAATTGACTTGCACAGAAAATATCAATAAAATCAAAGAGTAGATATTGTGAGACTACCTTCTCTTATCAAAGTTACAGAAAAGTAAAAATAAATAAAAAATAAAAATAATATCATAAAATTATTTTACAAACTTATTCTTCAATAAGGAAGAAAAAAATACAATATTAAGATGTTACATGTCAATTTACAAGAGACTCTACATAAAACCCGTGGGACTTGGCCAAAGTCCTCTACTGAAAGGAAAATTCAGTTTTAAATATTTTCATTATTAATCCCACAACAAAATAATTAAGGAAATAAAATATTTATTTCAGAAAATTTAGAAAGAGAAAAGCAAAATAAATGTAACAACAGAAATTCAATACTGACAGAAATGACTTTTAATGTTAAAAAAATAAACCGAAAAGAATGGAATATATGTAGAAAAGAGCAGAGAAAATGGAAATCATTAATTCAGGTGACACCCAGAGTCCTCATTGTCACCCTCCCCTCAGGGACTGTGAAATAACAATGTACCCTTATGGAGTACGTCACTTTTCCATTTTAAAGCAAGCTGGAGCTGGCTTGAATGTGTAGACAGCCTTATGACTTTAGAGTTGAGATACCAAATCCAGGAAGCACAATGTATAAGACTGAAATATTTGACTGACTACAAAGACCTTTTTAACTGTAGGCAGCAAAACATCCACAAAGATGTAAAAAAACAAAACCCCTATCAGTATGTGAAATACAAACCACAAAATGAATATATAGACTTATACATATATATTTGTTAAATTTATATATCTCATGTGGAGCTGACCCAGGTTAATACTCTTACTGTACAATCATATATAAAAGAGCATCTCTATATAATAAATGAACCAACACTGTCAACAGAAACTTATGCAAACAAAAATACCAATGGACAATAAAAATATGAATATAAGTAAACCCTCAATGCTCCTTTTTTAGCAATCATACCAACAATCTACTTCTCCTCTCCCAGCTTGTGAAAGGTGAAAAGGATTAGTAATAGTGTGTGGTGATGGGGTTGTGGGAAAATAAGCTTTCTGCACAAAGTGCTGTTGGCCGGTGTTTAAACTGGTCCAAACTTTCTGCTGGTCTGCACGCACTTGTTGACTCAACAGTTCTGTGTGTAAGCATTCATCGCAAAGAGACACCTGGAAAGGCTTACCAAATTGAACATAGAAGAGGCATCATCACACACCATGGGTGCAGCAGTGAAAAAGTGGAAACAACTAAAATGTCCCCCAAAAAGATATGTCTAAGTAAATTATGATTACTTGGCACAATGGCAAAACTGATCAATCGGGTGAATTGTCCCATGACAAATTGTGGAGATTTGTGATAGCGCATTTTAGAGTTGAACATAAAGTAGAACTTGGTTTTAATATGAATGTAGGCATAGACATAAAGACGTGGGGATAAAAGTCTCTGCCCAGGTATGAACAGAATTACTTCTTCTAGGGTGAATTTTTAATTGTATTTGCTTTCATCTTTATTTTCGTTAGTTCTATTTGATATATTTTTTGTAATGAGCATATCTCATCTTCCTATCATGATATAAAATTCTTTCACTCTGGAAAACGGGCTCAGGGACGCCTGGGTGGCCCAGTTAAGCATCTGCCTTCCGCTCAGGTCATGATCCCAGGGTCCTGGGATCAAGCCCCGCATCAGGCTCCTTGCCCAGCAGGAGCCTGTTTCTCCTTCTGCCTGCCACTACCCCCCTGCTCTCTCTCTCTCTGACAAATAAATAAAATCTTAAAAAAGAAAGAAAGAAAGAAAGAAAGAAAATGGGCTCAAAGGAATAACTACTGAAATAACTTCTTAAAAATGTAGTCAAAATACTTACTTGGAAAAAAATCAGTTTTCCCAATAATATACAATGTTGTGAAGATAGAGTAAAGCACGCCCATTCAACTGCGTAAAGTTGGGTGGTCAGATAGGTAAGAACTTTTCTAAAGAGCAGCTGAGCAAGGTGTAGCAACGGCATCAACAAAAGTTCACATGCTTTGACTCACTTCCAGAAATCTAAGCCAGGAAATACCCAGAGATATGGACAAGGGTTATGTAGAAGGATATTCATGCATGTTTTTTTTTTAAAGATTATTTATTTATTTATTTATTTGAGAGAGAGAGAATGAGAGATAGAGAGCACGCGAGGGAAGAGGGTCAGAGGGAGAAGCAGACTCCCTGCTGAGCAGGGAGCCCGATGCGGGACTCGATCCTGCGACTCCAGGATCATGACCTGAGCCGAAGGCAGTTGCTTAACCAACTGAGCCACCCAGGCGCCCACATGCATGTTTTTTTTTAATCATGAATTAAAAATCAAAAAAGCACACATATCCTCAATAGTGGAGTATTTGTTCGTATGTCTCCAATAACTTGTTTAACAAATATTTGCTGAGTGTCTGCTCTTTGACAGACCCTGGGGTTTAGTGGTCAGCAAAACAAACATGTCCCACCTCCTGAAGCCCATAGTCTAGTTCTTCTAATGGGAAAGACAGATGACCGACTCATTCCACCAAACATAAGTTAGGTGCTATTCAAGAAAAGTACAGGACAGGGGCGCCTGGGTGGCTCAGTTGGTTAAGCGACTGCCTTCGGCTCGGGTCATGATCCTGGAGTCCTGGGATCGAGTCGGACAACGGGCTCCCTGCTCAGCAGGGAGTCTGCTTCTCCTTCTGACCCTCTTCCCTCTCGTGCTATCTCTCATTCTCTCTCTCTCAAATAAATAAAAAATAAAATTTTAAAAAAAGAAAAGTACAAGACACAAATGTGCATATGCGCTATTACTTTATATCAAAGAATACGATAAAAAGAGGAATATAAACATGTTGTGAACATCTATTTACTATCTTCAGAAGTGATGTGCTTGCCAAATGGAGGAGTGTCTCTGAGAGACAGGCAGAAAGGATCATTTGTAAACCATTAGCCACTCAACAGGGAGGAAGGAGAGGCGGCATAAAGACCTAATGCAAGAATGTTCAGAACCATTTCCATCAGAACACTAAGGACAAATAAAGATGTACCCTCTCAAGTTATAATTTAAATAATGTGCAAATATGATCTACTTTGGAGGAGGAAATTTGAAAGGTACACCTCCTTAGTAAGATCTAAAAGTAAGGAGGTTTTCAACTTTGCTCTTTTCATTTCAAAGTGTCTTCAGCAAACCCTTAATCTTCTTAGTGTTCCTTTTTGGACTGCTGTTAGGGTCTCGTCCTTAACAGGTAAAGCAAGTCTATGCTGTTGGCTGCTAGAACAACATTGTGGGAGGACAGGCCCTCATGTGTTAGGGATTCTAGTCCTGACATGGTAGGCTGAACTTGCTTCGAGGGCACGTGACGAAGAGTTATAAATTAATCGTGTGATGGAGGAAGTCCTTAGGAATACCGTGCCTGCCCCTTGTTTCTGCTGGTTGGCGGTCACCATGGCGACCTCTAACTCCAGACCAAAGTTCAGCCGCTGTAAATCTTTATGACCACACTCATAGTCCAATGTTCCTTGGGGCATTTTGTCCCTTGAAGAGCTAGCTTTTATATTTTACAAGAACCTTTCATTCGGACTCCTTTTCTAAATACTGGAGTCCAGATGATAAGGTCCAAACATAGTACAAAAAATCGTTGCTTTCTTTGTTAACCACAGGACCCCTACTTTCCTGAGAAGATGCCAACGACAAAGAAAACACTGATGTTCTTATCGAGCTTTTTCACAAGCTTTGGGGCGTTCATCGTCGTCTGCTCTATGCTTGGGACCCAAGAATGGGTCAGCAGCATAATTGCCATCAGTGACTCTTCTTCAAACGGTAGTCTTGTTATCGTCTATGGACTCTTCCGTGGTAACAGCCGTCAGGAATTCAGTCATGGACTTGAGGAATCAAAGAAGGACTTTGGAGGTAAATGAGAAATTAATTTGAATGGGTATAGCGAGATTGCATTAACTGGGTAAGACTCATGTCATCCTCTCTTTGGGCCAAATAACTGTACAAAAATTTTTCCTTGTAAGCTCTGAGATGGCTTGTAGATATGAACATATATTTTTAATTTTGAAAATTCACCCACATTATTATTTCAGCTTCCTCGGTTCTGGTTGTGTCTGTTAGCACCACAGTCTAAATAATTCTGGCGGAGGCTCTGTTGAAGCAAGTTTACTGACAAGTAAATAATTAAGTAAGTATGTCTAGCAGGAATATGGTATCCAACATAGGATAGTAGGAACAGCATTTTTAGTTGTATCGACTGCAGATTTTTATTCATTTTTTTCAAGATTTTATTTATTTATTTGAGAGAGAGAGAGAGAGAGAGAGAAAGACAGCATGAGTTGGATGAGGGGCAAAGGGAGAAGCAGATTCCTTGCCAAGCAGGGAGCCCAATGCGGGGCTTAATCCCAGGACTCCAAGATCATGACCTGAGGAGAAGGCAGATGCTTAACTGACTGAGCCACCCGGGTGCCCCTAAAAGCAACATTTGTAAATTATTTAGCACCTGGGCTGGACTCTGCATCAAGCAGTGTTGCATGCAGGTAGACAGGCATTATCAGCCGTGACTCAGTCATTCCCTGCTGACTTAGAAATGTGTGTCATTTTCCACCTCATACAAATGTAGTATTTAGTTTGAGTTTGAACCTTAAACACTGAACAACGTAGTTCTATCTCCAAGTTATGAAATTTGCCTCTTAGACATTAGCAAAAGCAGTGTCTTTTCCAGTGGTCCAGTAATGTTACATGCCTCCTCCAGTACCAGCCTCAGCATCTCAGGAAAGCGAGGAATATTCCCTCTGCAGCAACCCGAAACTAAGACTTTCAAACATGCAGTCACACATTCAGTATGTGAATAGCATTTTCAAAACCAGAATGTGTACCAGTTCCTGAGCCTCCAGACACCCTGAAAAATTTTTAAATATGAGATAACAGCCGGTGAATTTTTTGATTTTCATGCTGTCTGTTTGGAACCAGTTGGTTCCCATCTGAGAGACAGGGCTTCAGTGAGAGCCCTGATGGCCTGTATCAGGAAAGCTCGGGGAGGCCAGGGCAGGTCCGAGCCTGACTCTAAAGCCCTGTGTGAGGGAGGTGAGTGGCATGGTGTGGAGATCGCAGAGAGAGGCATAGTCTAGATCAACCCTGAGGGCACAGGGCCAAGTGGGCACCATGGCACCATATGGCAGCACGAAGGAGGCACACTATTTGCATTTGCATTTTATTCTTTGTAACCGCAGAGCTATGGTCAGCTTTCTCAAGTCACTGCCCAGCGTCCAGGTGCTGTAGAAGAGCAGCGGCCCCCCAGTCAGGGAGGGTGCAGCACAATTGCTCTGGCTGATGTCCGCTGAGGGCTCCCCGGAGCCTAGGGGTTGTTCACTGCTGAGGGTTTTAACGATCACTGGACTTGGAACATTTGTAAATGGCTCTCTAAGATATGGGAAAGTCCTATAACTAGAACGTATATCATGGCGTTCAGCTGCTGCAGACCCCAGGATGTTTTCCCTTGAGAGCAGAACTGGAGACTGAGTATAGCTGCTGCCCAGCTGGTTTCTCGGGACCACATGGGGCTCATCTCAAATCAGAAACCAACCGCTGGCAGCAAAATAAAATCTGTATAAATGCCACTTCCTTCCCCAGCAGTGATGCATCAACTTTTCCATTTAAGATGTTAACATTATCAGCTTCTTGCCCAGGATGAGGTCGCATTGAAAATCTCCAAAGAGGAGTGAATATTGCAAAGCTCGCCTATATTTCTGCCTAGGACTTATCACATTGTGCCAATCTGGGCTGTAGATTTTGAGATGACAACACAGTACAAAGTGACAATGGCTGATTTCAGCATGCCAAAAGAATCCAGCCACCAATAGGTCTACTGATGGGGAAGATAATCCGTCGAGCCTGGCAAGGAAACTGTCCAATACGTGACTAGATTATGTGGCCAACTCAGCCCAACAGGAGATCTACTAGCTTCATCGGGTGGCCTCTCGGTTTGTCCAATATCCAGATGAAAAGTTACAGTCCTTGTGTCTACCAGTAAGCACTTTGCTTTTGCTACTCCAAAAGTTCTGGATATTGAATTTCAGTCCAAAACACTTCCCTGGGCAGCTGCTCCATGAGGGAGGGGATGGGACACACCGAGAGGCACTGCGCATGGCTCCTGGGCTTGGTGAACTCGCCATAGCTTCTCTCTAGAGAAAGGCCCCTGTCAGTTAACTCAGGCAGAGCAGGTCACTCTGACAGCGAGAGGAAGTTGCACCCAATCTGCCCGTCCCCCCAGGTCTCTTTTCTCCGCCTACCCCGTTTGTTCTCAGGGGACTCAAAATTGCACTTATTGGCCCAAGCTTAAAAATAATTAGAACAGTAAATCTGCTGCAAAAATCAATTAATTGCAAGGAGACAAACCAATGAGGCTTATTTCTTCCTTAGTACTTCTACTCACCAACCCCACCCCCCATATACTTATACTTTTCCGAGGAGAAGCAACTTACTATTTGTCCCCAGAGACATGGCCATGTTGGGTGATGGAGTTTAACAGGGCAGAAAATGCGCTCCCCCTCCTTCTCCATGAGAGAACCCAGATAAATTTCCCAGAGGCTGGGCATGACGGCTGCAACTTCTTGGAAGACCTCAAAGGCTCAGCTTATCAGGGGTATACTGTGGTCCCTGGGTTGAGGAATCTACCGGGTAAGGCTCCCTGATGACCGGCTGTCCGAGGAGAGGGTGCGGGCAGTTCCTGCCCACCCACAAAGCCACAGGCTCTCCCTCAAGGTCTGAGGACTGATGGGAAACCAGAGCCAGGAAGACCCTATGGCAAGGGGCTCCTGAAGGGTTAAATCTCCATGCACAGAAAGCCCGATGTCCAGATGACCCATTTCTGTACACTGTCCACTGCCCCCAGCACATTTTCTGCCTCCCAGCTGTGGGAGCGATGGCTCTGTCCTGAGGTTGCCAGAATCCGGGCAATTAGTTCCAATTGTGAGGTGGTTTTCCCAATTCCAACGCTTGGCCCTGAAAAAGAAGAGGAAAGAACGGAATGTATTTGCTAATTTTGTAGGCCAAGAGAAGCTGTCAGATGCTGGAGGTGGTTATTCTATTTCATTCTTGCCAACTTTCCCTGAATTTCCAGCTTTCATTGTCTGAGTTCTGAGCCAGGAGGGGGCTGAGAGATATAACTGTCATACCTGTGTGGCAGGAAATTCAGATGCCGAAATAGAATTTTAAAAGACGGCAGTTAAAATTAAGATAAATTGTCCCATTAATACAAAGAAAAGTATGAGTCAGTAGGCTCCAAATTGATGCCCTTTGAAAAATCGTGTCTGTTAAATCTTAGCAACAGTCAAAAACAAAGCCTAACCTAATTGTCACTTTCTAGTTTACTCTGAAAAAGTGGAACATTCACCATTTGCAAATGAACATCCATTTACAGCTTTCAGTAAGTGTATAAAGCAGAAATACTTTCCAGGGCACGCCAGAGATGACATTCTCCCCCACACTGAAATGTCTATTTTTTAGTTAAGTATCCAAATTATTTCTTATTGGCCAAACACAGAGTTTATTTAGTCCCCAGCAAATTTCTGATTAGAGCTTCAGGCTTCCTCCTTGTGGCCTGGGAGGAGCAGGGTGATTGGGATGGGAAGCAGTTCTTCCTCATGGTGAGCGCTGGAAACTTCCCAGCATTCGACCCTGCAGCTTCGAACAGGTGCATCTCACTTCCCGTTTTGCCCTAGTCCTACTCTCGTGTCATCATCCACTCGTTTCAAGACAGGTGTGCGCTGCCTTAGACCCATGAGAGTCCCCCCACCCCGGCATCTCTGCAGCGAGAGTCTCAGCCTGAGCTCAGGGCCTTCGGAAGAGCCCAGCCCACGCGGTTCCCCAGAGGGCAGGTGGCCCATGGGACCCCAGCCATCACCCCCCGCAGGCCGTAGGTGGTGGCAGGCAGGGCCACGTGTTTTATTTAACCTATGTCATTACAGTTCTTCCGCCGGGTGGATCCCACAGAGGGCTCTGCTGAGGACTTGGCCTAGCCTGGGGGTCATTAGCAGAGGTTGTGAAACCGTCCAGTCACCGCTGGGTCTGTGTGAGCTGAACTTTGCTCCAGGCCCGCCTCTCACCGAGGAGCAAAATGTTCTCGGGCCAAGGGCGGTGACGTCATCGGGTCCATATTGCTGGGCTGATAGCTCCCCACTTCCGGCCTCTGTGTTCGCCCAGGGGGTTCCCAGGGATGCGTGGCCGCGCCTGCTCGGGGCGCCTACAGGTCTCCGACTCCGCTCCTCTTTCCACCGGTTTGGTTTCTGTAGTCTCTCCTTGCGCACTGTCCAGTGGCAGAAAACCTGCCTCCTTCCCAGAGTACTACCGATTAAACATAAACATCAGAATTAACAATCTAGATGCTCAGAACTGGAGAGAGGAGAGACCGGGTGCAGGTGTACGCGCTCTGAGTGGGGGGGGGGGGGGGCTCTCTGGCAGACGTGTTGTGGGGCTTTGGAGTCAGAGTCAAGTGTGTGCAGAGCAGGAGCCAGGCGGGCAGGAGCTTTGGAGTCACGCCTTACAAAGAACATTCTGGAGATGTGGGCTGTTAATCACATTGGGGTTTGTCTTTCTTCACTGACGACGGAGGCTGCCAGACAGAGAGGAGCGAGTAGATTCTGCGTTGTCCCAGAGGAAGCAGAAGGACTCTGGGCAAAAGTCATAGAGACGCATGTTTGGGCCCAACACAATGAAGAGCTTTTATTTATTTATTTATTTGTGCGTTGTCATTTTTTTTTTTAAGTCTAAATTTTAGTTAACATACAGATCAATGTCGGTTTCTGGAATAGAACTCAGTGATTCATCACTTCCCTACGACACCCGTGAAGAGCTTTTAAATAATGAAGGCGACACGGCATGGAAGGGACCACCTTGCAAAGAGCGAGCCCCTTGCTGCCAGGACACATGTCAGGAGCAGGCTTGGCTGCTCCTTCCCTGGCACACACCGCGTCCTGGGGCCCCTCCAGTTCTCAGGGACCCCGTTTTTTGGAGCACTCTGGTTCAGAGAGCGAGATAAGGAGCCCCCAAGCCCTCAAACGATATCTTTCCTGGCTTTTCTGGTTTCTGTTCTTTAAAGCTGCTATGTGACAAGGCTGGGGGTGGCCCCCCACTCTCTCCCAGAGGCCTGGGAAACAGGAATGGAAAGAAGAAAGTTTTTACTTTCTCTCACCAGACCTCCCCCGCCCATCACGGTTCTTACACCTCACAATTCCCAATGACTTTGTTGGCATCTTACGATGAACTCTGAAATCTTTTCCCCGGATTACTTTTTCTCTATATCATTGTGGCTTTCACAGAACATCCTGGTAAACACTTTATTTAATGTGGTGGCAATCACCTAAGGCCCTAAAACACACCCGCAGCCTTTGGGGATGTTTTATAAATGCATGGCTGGGGTTACAGGTAAGTGTGGGGACAGCATGCCTCTGGGGTCTGACCATTTTGTGTTGTAAACAAAGGAGCGAACAGGGGAAACATTCATAGGGACGGTGGCTGGTTGTGGTTAGAAACAGGAGGATGGCAAAAGCAGGAACTCGTGGCTAACGGCCCAGGGCATCTGTGTTTCATTTGGCACAAATGCATATCCATGCCTGGAGCTCCTTTGCACTTAAGAAAAATGCACATTTTATAAAATGTTGTGTGAGCTCAGAGGAACTGAGCTTGGGAAGAATTCTGATGGCTTACCCAGGGGTCACCTTTTGCATTTAAGCCACAGGGGCACTGGGTCCTCTCTAGCTCCAGGGAAGTGACGTCGGGAAGTGTGGCCGACAATTCGGTTGTACCCACAGCAGTCTTCTGCTTGTCCCCAAGGCCATCTTTGCCTCCCAGCTCCCTGGTCACCTCCATCAGCCCCCCACTCCTGGCCTTCTGTGTAATGGGCTCACCTCCGAAATCTCTGGGTGTACCAGATCCTCTCAGTCACAGGTTTTCAGTAAGTGTCCCCAAGCGGAAGCGTAGTAGTGCTCTGAGCAAGAGAACACCATCCATAAGGAGGTGACGCCGGCTGTCAGGCATCTGAGGCCGGAATGCCCTGAGGAGGGGTGTCCAGCCCTGCCGCAGCTTATCAAGGAGGGCACCGTCTTTTCTCGGGGAAATTAAAATTGGGCTGGATAGCCAGTTATCCGAAGTCCTGTGGTTGCACACATGCAAGCGGGGAATGAGGATCCCGAGGCGCCACCCCTTCCTGTTGGCGCACACCTGAGAGGTGCCTCCTGCAATTCCTACCCCCAGTGCCCGAGAGGAGAGAGTGCGGGGGACTGCCAGGGTGCGGGTGGCATAGCCCTCGGGTCTAGGGCTGGTGTTTGCTTTTTTGTGCTACGTGCTTACCACCCACTGTTTTAGTTTTAGAGAAATTGAACAATTCTTCCCAAAGAACGCTGCATTTGGTGGTTATCCTGTTCCTGGTCCTCAGCCTGTGCACTTTGCTGCTCAGCTCTGGGCTCACCTTCTACAACAGCATCAGCAACCCCTATCAGACGTGTTTGGGGCCAGTGGGCGTGTACACCGGGAGCGGACTTGGTGGTGAGTATCCCCGGGGACACCGGGCGCTCTGCTGACAAGCACGACCTCTGTGTCTCTGTCTCTCCGGTGCTCTGTCCCACGCAAGAACACACACGATCCCAGGGGAGCCGTGGAAACTAGGCAGACCTAGTATGTGCCAAGTTGTGTGCTGGGGCCCGGGGTTTATATCTGTAAACCTACAGAATTTATGAAGCATCTTGGAAATAAAATTGTTTCAGATGCCCTGGTAGAGAGAGAGGACGTACCTGACATGCGGACAGGGTGTTAGCTGTTGAAATACGTAACATAAGCCAGTCTTTGCTATTGAGCACCGAATGTAAGGAGTTAAACACAATGCTCCTAAATGGACAAAACAGTCACTGTTGACAACTATACTACTGCTATGTGCTTAACTCCAAATTAGGTTCCATATAACGTATGGAAGTACACACACACATACACACATACACATGCACACAGGTGTGTGTGCACATGCATGCACACATTTATGTACACACACAAACATGCACACATGTACACATGCACATATACACATATATACACACATTCACACATACACACACGTACACACACTTATTTACTCTCCTCACCTCCAAATAACAGTCAGTGTGGGCTAAAATCCAAACATGACACATGTGTATGACTGTCCCACAGAGAACCACAAAGGTCATTTAGAGACTCTGGGGTCAACACCCTTCTTGTGGGTGACCTGTGAGCTCACGGTGATTCTGTAGGGTGTGGCTAGGTTACTTTGTGTATTGTCAACGTTGCGGTAGGGGTGCAGCGCAGATGGGAAGCAGATCCCAGCTTCGGTCACAGTATGTGTGGCTCTCACTGGGGCTTCTCGAGGCTTGGCAGCCACTGTGAATGCCCAGGATGGCTGCCAGCCGGAACCATGCCGTCAGAACTCTGATTCCCTTTGGCGCTTGTCTCTTGATTTTCCCAATGCTCTCTCTGGTGTTAAGCAGCGAGCTGGTCCCCTTAGAGGCAGGATGGCTGCCAGCAACCCCAGGAGAAAGGATCTCTTTTCCCCCAAATCTGACTCTCCCTGAAATTTTCCTTCCCCACCCCTGGAGCAATCTCCATGGCCACCAATGGGGTTGAACTCACTGGCTGACCCACCCAATGGCTGGGACACCTGATCCCTTGGAGCTGGGGCTGGGGGCAGCTCCAAGGGGAAAATCAGGTGCCAGTTCCAAAGGAGGTTTGGATGTGGGGCCCCAGGGACAAGACGGGGACCACGTCACCACGCTACAGCCCACGGGGCTCAAAGGCCGTTGCTTCATAAAGCCTGTTTCTGCAAGGCTGCAGTTTCCAGCTCTTTGTCTCCACGGTCGAGGATAAGCTGACTTTGCACCTGGCAGAAGCCGATGCGTGTTTGTGGAGGAAAACATGAAAAACACAGGACCCGAGGCCTTCCCCTCAATCCCCGCCTACTTCTCACAACAAAGACTCCTCTGACAGGGAGAGAGCTCCTGCGGCATTCCTTTCCCGGCTTGGGGCAAGTTCTAACACACAGAAGGGGCTGTCAGGTGGGCAGAGAAGCAACCCGAGACGTGGATGTGTAAGGAGGAGGTCTGCATTCCGGCAGGGGTCACAGGGACATCTTTGTGGCTTCACGTCCAGCCTCCTCTGAATGCCCCTCCTACCTTCTTGATCCCAGTGCTCTGGGAAGCCAGACTTTGGCCCCGAGCTTGCCTCTGGGGCCTCCCAATCTTCTTCACATGAGCTTCGAGTGTGCAGAACGTAGTGGGAACTCTAGGTGAGTCTCGGCCCGCAGAAGGCTTTTATGCACAAAGATGCCTTTGACATATCCTTGCTTTGGGTCATCTTGGCAGGAGACTTGGTCCCCGTGGTCAGGCTGGCTCTAGGGTCTCTTGAGCCAGAGGGAAGTGCCGCAAATCCCCACTGAGGCTAGATTTGAACAAACTCCCCTTGGCTGCAGGGAAGAGGACCTGGGCTTCCTAGCCTGGTTTGTGGCTCGGAAGGAACAGGAGCAGATTCTGCTTGGAGGAAAACACAGCAGCATCACAACCTCCCAGGTTCCTGTGCCCTCTGACCCCAGCCTGCCCTTCGCCCCACAGCGGCCTGGCGTGGCCCGACCCTGTCCACAGGGGATACAACCGTGGACTGAGAGAATGTCGGGGCCTGACAGAACTTTGCAGATTGTTTGATCCTCGGCCCAGGAGCCCGGAGAGCACAAAGTGATGGGGCAGGTCACATGGCCTGGTGGGGACAGGCCAGGCCTGGAGCTCCCCCTGCTACCACGGGGCCCCCTTTACCCCTCTGCAAATCCCCTGCCCCAGAGAGCCGGGGACGCAGACAGGGAGCGGCAGCTTCTTCCTGCCGGGGCTCAGGTCTGCACAAGTCAGCAGCGGCCCCTTCCCAATTCAAATCAAAGCCGAGCCCGTCCCACTGCAGAGAAAAGTGTGTGACCCTGTGTTCACCCTGCCTCTTTGTGACTAAGCTTTTATAAGAAATTTCACAAGGGCATAATGAAGGATAATTAGGGAGTATGAGACGCATAGAGCTTCAGAGGAGGGGGCTCTTGTATGTCCAAATTATTGAGAAGTAAAACCATCACGCTGAGCGTGAAAGTCCATCATCAAGGACAGTCCAAGCGTTCTCCTCACACAAAAGCCCTCGAGTCAGGGCCTTTGGAGGACTGGGAAAAGTTTCTGGGTGTGGGCTACGGCCAGGACACGTTGACCCCAGAACATCTGTCTAGTTGTGGGTAAATATTCTCAGAGATGGGCAACCGTCCCCTCCATCTGTCTTGGAACATTCCATCAGCTCAGAGAGCACCCCGCACCCTCTGGCCTCTGCCACGTCCCCACTCCCAGCCCAGCCCCATTCCAACCAACCACGAATCTACCCTTTGCCTTGGTCAGGCTGATCCCCTTTGGAAGGTGAAGAATGAGGTCCAGAGGCGCACACAAATCACCCAGGGTTTCGTGGCTGGAGCCTTGGAACCTGGCTCTCTCTGACTCCAGAACCCTGCTCTCCAACTGGGCCAAGGCGGCCATCCAAAGTCACTACCAAGACACACTCTCCAGGGCAGGACGTTGTGAAGAATGAAAAAGGGAAGAGAAGACCATTAACAAGTTCTCTTCTCACACGAGTTTAGCCAGGAGACCCTTCCTGGTTAAACGCCATACTCCACTGCGAACAGAATGAAAGCCCAGGCTCTGAGCCAGTGTCTGAGGCTCTCTGGGGTGGTCTCCTCCTCTCTAGTCAGTGCTCAGGACCCTCAGAGCAGCTGCCCATGGGCCGGGTCCTGTCTCAAGGTCCCAGGGGCTCCGGGCTCCCTGGCCCCTGTGTGTCTTCGTGTAGGCTGCCTCTTCTGTTGCAATGCTCTGTCCTTCGAGTCGTTGCCATCCATCCAGTCCTCTCTAGAAAGCTTGACCCTCCTGTCTGCTCATTCTCCAGTTCATTCCATACATCTCTGCCTGCACCAGCCAAGGGAGAGGTCCGCAACAGGCCCTTCGGAAAGAACTTGAACCATATTTTCACTCTTGGCCGGACGATGCCCTCCGTCTTCAGCGGTTCATGCCTAGAATCTAGCTCAGGGCTTACACTTCCTTTACATTCCAATACCTAGAAGACTGTAAGCGCCTCCCTCCCCGTATGCATATTCCATACATGCCCACAGAGCACAGGTTTCATTAAGAAAGAAAGTGACATTTAAAAAGGTATCACCATATCATTTATGAGACTGAATCTTCTTTCCAGCCTTCTTCATTTTCATGAGCATGATACTGTTTGTGGGGAACACACAATCCAACCATCTCTCGGAAGACCTGGCCCAGACGCTGTACCAGCCGTATCCAGCAGCTGCCTACGGAGGAACGACCCACAGCTATGGTTACTCATTTTGGCTAACGCTGCTTGTCATTCTTCTAAGTATTATCACTGTGGTCATCATTGTTTTCTACCAGAAGGCCAGATACCAGCAAAAGCAGGAGCAGAGAAGGCCCATGGAATATGCTCCAAGAGATGGAATTTTATTCTGAATTCGGTTATGTTATTTTGTTACTAGGTCTATTCTATTGTACATCAGCTCCTGAGCAGTGACTGGCTCACTTGTCTGGACAATCAGCAAAGTTAAGTGTGGCTCTGGTTGACGGTCATTTTGTGATAGTTTTGTATCTCATGACACTCCATGAATGATGTCACATCACAAAGGGTTCTTTCCACTAAGGTGAGGAAGATGAAGGGGAAATCTCTCGCAGTGTTCAAAGCGGTAGAATGATTACTAGACTATGGACCCTCCTGCCCTGGTCTCACTCTCTAAGACAATAAAGGTTCGTGGTATGCACTTTTCCTTTGAGTAGCTCAAAGCACTTTAGCACCTAGGATCTCCTTCTCCTTAGGAGGGACCAGGTATTTTGATTCCACTGTATGATTGAAGACGTCCAGGTACAGAGAGATTCAGAACTCGTCTTTCCAGGACCAGGTATTGGAGGCAAAAGGTGGGCAAAAGTTTGGAATAAATGCCCTGGTCCTGTGGCCCCCTGGTTGCTGACATAATTCAAACCCAGTGGTGGGTAGAAGTGCTGATATATGACCTTCAGGCCCATTTTTGAGGTTCCAAGGGGGCAGTTTTTGTATGGAAGAGACCAGGAAGTGAGAAGATTTAAGAAAGATAAAAATTATAGCCCTATAGCCTCCACACTAGGGAGGCCAAATGTATTTTTGGTTTAAAAGGATTGTGGTGAGTTAATCAAAAGGGAAATGTAACTTTGCAAGAAGTTCTAGGAACCAACCCTTTGCTGTTGACACAGTATAGTTGGACGGAAGTGAGTGGATCAGCCATCAGTGGATTCCAGCCCAGCCAGAAGGTAAGAAATGGCCTAGAGCACTGGGCTTGCAGGCATTTCCCGAGTGAAGTCTGGGCAGATGGAGAACACAGACATTGGGTTGCCCTCTAAGAACGGGTGGGTAAAATTGGTTCACAGACTCAAAAGGACACAATGGGCCACCAGGAAATTTTTGAAAAGGTTCAGGATGGATTAGACCCACTTTGCCAGTAGGATATTCTTCCAGAAAATCCCTTTGAAGCTCTTTTGGGCTTGAATATCCCACAAGTCAGCCAGGTTTCACATTGACAGGATTCTGAAATAATGACCCGACATGTCTTGATTGAACCAAAGTCAAATGGAGCAGAAATTTAGCGTAATTTATACTCTTAGTATAATTTACAAAGCAGCAACTCTTTGGAGAGAAAGATCTGCTTTATGAAGCTATTAGGGAGTCACGACCTTCTTATCTACTATTTTTTAACAATCTGTCTTAGAGTTAATATTTTTCATGCAAGAAACACCCATTGAATACCTATGATGTGATTAGCAGTGTGCTAACGCTGGTACCTGCCACGGCAGAGCTTACTGTGGAGAAGTCAAGACAGGCATTCCAAGAGCAGCTGTTAAATTTCACATAAAACAGGGACATAGTCACCAGACTGTGCTCATCCCCTGAAGGTCAGTCCTCTATAACCGCCTACCCCAAAGTCAATGTTACTCTAATAAATTAACTTGTTGTGCAACTTTGAACATATTAAAATTATGATTCTCAACAGTAAAAAATGTTCTAAATTCTTTGACGCTAAAAACATTTATGTTCTTCGAAGATTGCATTTTATATCAGATTTTGGTAATGTGGACAAGTAATGGAAAAAGAAATGGGTATGGGTGAAATATCCATGCAAATGATCGCTGAGTAGGCAGGCGCTCACACCCCGTGTTAGTGCAAAGGACACTACAGGATGTAAAGACCGCGTGTACTCATCTCAGAGTTTGAGCCGCGCCTGGTTTCTTTAGGGGACAAACTATCTCTATCCTTATATCACAGAGGACCTTTAAGGAACCATTCCGAACAGGAATCTGATATGGGGAAGTATGTTTCACAGTCCTGGAGATGAACAGCTTGACTATCTCTTACTGTGTCTGAAGGTAGAAGCTAATGACACTGTGTGTGTGTGTGTGTATTCCTTAGAAATCCTGTTAAGGAAGAACAAAGTTTGCAGACCGCTCAGAGACGTAGACGTGATTTGCTGTTCTAAAATTACTTCATAAACTCACATTACATTTGTTGTAGTGGAACCACATGAAACACCATTTTCAAAGTCTGAGCTATTCCGTGGAATTAGAATGTTTGAGCGGTCATGATGCGACCCCTTAATTAACCCATGTGGTCCTATTACGATGAGCTGGGTGACAAAGTCCATCCACATTTGCAAAATAAATAAATCATACAGAATATCGTACTCTTTAATTTTACAAGAACACAGGGTCTATGATGATAATTTTAGGGAAATTCATTCTTTACACTAATGTCAAAGTGATTAGTGTCCCCCTCCCTCCCCAGTGAGTTGATGTTTGCAAAGCACAATGGGAGCCAGGGATACCCTCCAGGTAAGCTTTGCTATCACTATTATAATTTTATTTGATCATCTCAACAAACCCTGTGGGTTAAGCAGGGCAGGAAGAATTGTCTCCTTGGGTATGACACTTTTCAGGGTCTCCATAGCGCTCCAGCAGCCAGCCCCGCACGGCCATACAGTAGTGGCCCTCCTGTGAGTGACACGTGGCCATATATATAGGCAGACCTACCAGCGGCCTTGCGACCTCTGGGGCTGCTTGGGCTCTTGGAAGCCCCAGGAGCATGCAGATGCTGCAGAGGGCAGGCAGGCGCCAAGCAAGCTCTGGAGCGGGCTCTCCTGCCTGTACCTCGCCTGCCCAGTGACCCTCTCGCTCCTTCACTGAAACCCACCACTGAGTGCAGACGGGGAGCCGGGTTCTTAGTTGCTTGATCCGATGTCTTTCTGCAGCCTGAATAAGGATGTGGGCACGGCGTGTGTGGAACAGATGGTTCAGAGGCAGGAGCCTTTCTGATTCTGAAGTTGCAGCTCGGAGAGACTGGTCCTTGGTCCCTGAGCCACACTGTGCTCTCCTGACTCTGGCACCCCGCACCCCCCCACCCCTGCTAGGGGGCGGTGGACACATCAGTCCTTCAGCCCACGGTGTGGAAGGCAGATTCCCTCCAGAGCAGCCCTGTTCCCTGTCCTCACCCCAAACACCCCACCACCCAGGAAGTGGAGATGGCAGCTAGAGGCTCCATTGGGAAACTGCTCTGGGATTTCAGAGCTGGCCCAGTCACGGCCCCTTCTGAGCCTCTGTTTGCTTTCTCATGACTAAAAAATAAAACGTAGATAATAGAAATGACAATTAGTGTAGGATAGAGAGGGAATTCTGGAGTCAGGCTGCCCGGAGTGGAGAAGCTACTTAATCTCCGAGAGCTTCATTGTAATCACCCGTGAGATGGGTTGACAAAAGCTCTCAGGTTATGGGAAGGGACCCTGTCAAGGTGAGCAAAGGGTCCCTGGCCCTTGAGACCCAGCAGCCACCCTCCTCCGTCACAGAGCCTTCAGTACGTAAACACTGTAATCAGATCTCAAGGTGAGCGCATGCCACCACCCTTAGCTGCTGCAGGCCACGTAATCCGTTTGCTTTGTAAACGGGCAAGCAACAAACCCCGTAGACCCAGGGAAGTTAATAAACTTGACCAAGCATCCGAAGCTGGCAAGTGGCAAAGCAGAAGTCAAAGCAGGCCTCGGACACTTACTCGTTTTTGCCTACATTTGACTCAGTTCCACAAGCATTGTTTGCATCGGGCTGGCGGCCCAGGCCTGCGGGGTGGGGGTGGGGGGTGCACGGGGACGACAGTGGCAAGGAGCGTGGTCCCCACAGAAAGTGTGGCCTCCTGGGTGTGCGCGGCACATTTCGCCGCATGTGTGAGTCTCACGGTGGCTCTCATTCCCTCAGAACCAAAAGGAGCGCCGGGCTCAAGCAAAGGGTGCTAACCCTCTGCGGGGCTGGGTGCTAACCTTCAGCCGGGCTGGGTGCTACTGAGCTGAAGAGGGTGGGTCTTAGTGACAGGACACGCCCGAGAAGCCGGCACATGTGGCCAAGGGACTTTGTGCTCCTAAAATAGAAAGAGGGCCCGATTACTCATGATGCCCAGGGTCACTGGCTTACTAAGGCTGTGCTCAGGGAGGAACTGAGATACGTGGGAAGCCTGACACATTACATGCCCCGAGTGGGAGGCCCCGAAGCATGCCCAGATTCTGTTCCTGTTCCGCATGCTCTTCCCACTGTGTGTTCTCACACCACCCAGACACGGAAGATGAATTACGCCAGCAGAGCTTCCGACAACATCCCAGCTCCTGCAACAACGAATTCGTGTTTGTGAAGGGCTTCAGACCACGAAAGCTTTCTTTGCAAAATGTTTCATTGTCTCGTCAGAAAGAAAAATGTAGATAGAAGTGCATTGCATTTTATGCCTCTGAGTTTTAAAGACACTGCTTTGAAAATGAACGCTCCTCCCACCGCCCACCTCACTCCTTTACCAAGAGGGTTAGACTTTTAATGTTTAACCATGACCCTTTGTGAAATGCTCGGCTTCTCCGGTTATCTGGAAGCATGCAACTCCAACAAAATGTCCAACGGGCAAATCGCTCTTCCAGAAGGCGCAGTTGCTGCTTTTCTAGTTCCGAGCACAGCGACGGCGGAGCTCGCGGACGGCTGGGTTGTGAGTCTCGGGGCTCTGCCGGGAGGAGATGCCACAGCAAACATGACCGTCTCTTAGTGTGTCCTCCCCTAAATGCTCTACAGGAGGTTTCATCGACTCCTCACAGCAGAAGCATGGGCTGGTTTATAATTAATCCCATTTTTTAGGCAATTGGGAGAGACTGAACAGAGATTCCATCCTAGACCCTCAGCCCAGGCCTCCTGAGAGGTACGTGGCTGGGACCACGCATGCATACGAAAAGGTTGTAAAAAGTCTCAAGGGCACCTCCGAGCATTAGATCTTGGCCTCCACTGGGCGTCCCCCAGGCATATGACATTTGGGGTGAACTGAGTTTGCTGGATTCGCCAAGTATTTAATTGGGTCATCATTCACCCTTTGATTAAAAATTTCACCATTTTCACCAGGCAGTACACATTGCATGTAATCTTTATGTATTTAAGATAAGACTAACGTCTTGTTGTTGGCCCCGTCACAGTTGTGAGTAAGGATTAAGTATCTATTAAAGGCAGGTGGTATAGGACGGTAGGCACATGCTCCTGTGTTAACAGACTGAGGCTTTAGTGAAGACGCAGCACACGAATATTTACTGAGTGCTTCGTCTACTTAAGACATGAAGCAGGAGCTCAGGATCCTGCAATGCACAATAGGCACAGAGCTTCCAGTGCAGCTGGACAGACAGACAAGTCCACCATCCCATGGTGGCTTTTGAAGCAGGACCTCTGAGTGCTGTGGGAGCATCCCGATGGAGAACCTGAAGGCTTCCCTGAGAAAAACATGGTCTTAGCTCCTCTCCAAACTCTGTGACCTTGAGCAAGGACCACAACAGACTTTGCAGGGGATCTAATTGTCACATGGAGGAGTCAGGGAAGTTGAAACATGGTGAGCTAAGGCACGACTTTCTTGTCTCTGCTGCCTCATTTGAAAAATTAAAATGGGTAGAAGATGATTTAGGAACCTCTAAATTCTTTTTTTTTTATTTTTATTTCATGGAGTTGAATTTTTAAAGAAACATTTATATAAATACCAAATGTGATCGGGTCAAGTTTTCAAGTATGGAGGACATCTGTAACAGGTATGTTCCAGAGAATGTTCCAATAGAATTTTATTTTCGTGAATGCTTTTATTCCACGAGGGATATAATGAGCCTACTCTGTGGGGATCTTACTTTCCTGCACAGTGTTGTTGAAACATTATCTTCATCTTTTGCCTAACAAAAGCAATGAATGAATGATAACAATCAATAGGATGTGAAAAGCTCATTTCATGCTCTAGAATAGGGGACCTTCTAACCAAAAAAAAGTCTGTTTTCTAGACTCTTCCTTCATTTTTCACTTATGCTTAGGTGCCAAAGAGCCAGTGGTACATGTGCTTTTGAGAAACTCCAGGGTCATCCCTCTGGGAGCTCCATGGCTTTTTACTGAGCATCCCGACCCACAGACATCTCATGTCCCGCTTGAAATGCAGCTCCTCGGCAAGACTTTCATAGCTACTCTCTGACCCGAGTCAATTAATGCCACACAAACTGAGAAATGGCTACCTTTAGTGTCACCCAATGTAAATTGTCTAGCTTAATGCCTCCATGAAAATGTGCCCATCGTGGACTTGTCCAATCAAATAAAAACTTGTAAAGAATTTTGATAGCAAAGTAGGTGATACATCACGTTTGGAGAGGGTCGTAGAGGTTGGTGGCACTGAAGACCCTGAAAAGCTTTTGTTTACTTGGGTTGATTCTGCCAATATTTACCACATTAGAAATTAAAATGATTATAAGGGCGCCTGGCTGGCTCAGTCAGTTAAGCATCTGCCTTCAGCTCAGGTCATGATGCTGGGGTCCTGGGATCAAGTCCAATGTCGGGCTCCCTGCTCAGCGGGCAGTCTGCTTCTCCCTCTCCCTCTCCCCGCTTGTGCTTTCTCTCTCTTTCTCATTTACTCTCTCTCTCAAATAAACAAATAAAATCTTTTAAAAAATAAAAA